TTCTTATTACCTGTTGCTAGCTTGCTGTCACGTTTGGTCGCTTTTATTTGCTTCTTCTCTTTATTGCTGCTATTGAAGCTTTTGCCCTAAGCTCTACCAATTAAGAAATACCGACAAATACCTCTGACAGTTGATTGTTGTACGACTTGTTATCGTTTAGGCAAGAGATGTGGGTCTGTAACATTTATCTAGGTGTTATTGTCCCAAGAATGTCACCTGAACCGTGTCGGGTAGCATTTGGTCTTCCTGTTTTTATCATTTCGGTAAAGTTTTTAACAGTCATGTGTTGGCAATATCAAATTTCAAATCATTCTTGTTTCCGCATAACTTAGATTGCATTTCCCTTTAAGTTAAAAAAAAAAAAAACTATAACAGTTACTGAATTGTGAATTCTTTCGCTCTTAATGAGTCAATGTTTGTCACTATTATTTCTGTAGCAATTATGCATTTTCTTATTTTTGTATGGGGGCCAATCCCTCTCCTGTACGCAACCGGGTTCAGAACTGCTGATTGCATACAATCAAGGCGTTTAAAAAATTGATAGTCATCGTGTGAACAGAAGTCAATGAAAGGTAAAGTTTGGTTCAAATAGTATAAAGGTATATCTGTAACTTCTTAAGAATGTGGGTATTACAATATTTGCCCACGCAGATGCAGTAGGCAGCAGGCATGTCTTAATCTCAAGGGAGATTTAGTCGCTCAGCACACCGACTGCTTAATTTCAAACGTCCACGCGGGCGTCACGTATCTACCCACCCACATATGCACTACGACTAAATACATTACTTGCATTCATCTTTGCCATATTTACAACGGTACGGCCGTTGTACGCTCCGGCCTTCTTCAGGTGATTGTAATTTCGAACCGAACCCTTTATTTCGTCCGCCGGGAGTAGATTGTTCTAGTTTCACGTGCCATGCCTCTTCCGGATGTCTCAGTTATTTTCTTTTAACTCAACTGTCCAAGTTTTGGTTCACCGCTGTTGTGGCCTGATATTGAGGACACACGACCCAATGGATAAAGACTAAATTGATTCCTATTGGAAAAATAGTTTCGGTTTACGAACATTTCAGGTTACGAACAGCCTTCAGGAACAAATTAAATTCGTCAACCGAGGTTCCACTCTTCTTTTCTAAGGGGTTAAGGGATTTCAAATTTTTAATCAGACATTTTTAATATATCAAATATTATTATTAGTGGATACTCGTAATTGAGCAGAACGTTTCGTTTTTCAAACAATGTTTATTTCGTCTACCGATCTGAAACTTAATAAAGATGTGTCTTCTGGCAGGATTCGAACCTGCGTTGACCCTCGGAGCAAGAGCCAACGTCTGATCGAACACGCTTTAAGGCAAATAAAAACTTGAATGTATGTGAGGCTCTCCGAATATGAGTGGTCTCAAGCGCATTGAGACATAATTTAGTACTGCGCAAAAAATTCACGAAGTCCCGGTAACATTAAGTTCAGGTAGCCTAACGGAAAGCGCCTCAGAACACTAACGATGAAAATATTTATAGAAAAGGCAGAAGGAAGCTAGGCTACGACGGTGGGAAAGTAACTGACGCAGAGATGCCAGGCTAGGGCAAACAACATTGCAGGTTATTTGGATTTTCTCAAGAATCTCTGCGTCCTGAGTAAGACAATAAACTACGTCCGGCAGCAAGGCCTCTGATCAGGAGGTTTTGAGGAACGTGGAACCACCTCTTAATTTCTGGTATTCCCAGGTCTACACAGACCTGGGGTAATAACATCTCTTAGGGTCTCAGTTATGGGCAAATAGTCAAGCTCAAGAGGATCAAAACACTATGAAAGTGTAAAAATAGGTTTTATTACTAGCAATATATTTTTGAAAAAAATATTACCAGCAATAAGTTTTTGAAAAAAAAAAAAATTACCAGCAATACATTTTTGAAAAAAAATATTATCAACAATACATTTTGAAAAAAACAAAAACATTTTTGAAACAAAAATATTCCAACAAACATTTTTGAAAAAAAAAATATTACCAACAATACATTTTGAAACAAAAAATATTACCAACAATACATTTTTGAAACAAAAAATATTACCAACAATACATTTTTGAAACAAAAAAATATTACCAACAATACATTCTTGAAACAAAAAATATTATCAGCAATACATTTTGGTAAAAAATATTACCAGCAATAAAAAAAACAAACTTGTCGGCCTTAAATATCCCATTAAAGTTGACATACCGTAAAACAAAATAAACCAAACCAAAGAATACATATTCTATTCATACGAACCTATCCTACAATTCTTGTCAGCATTAAATAACCTATTGAGGTTGATGTGCCGTAAACCAAACCAATCAAGAATATCTAAATACAGGTAGCAGAAACCCTAGACCAGATGTAGCAAGAATTTTCAAAGTAAGTGCGAATGGTAGACTAGATTCTAACTAGAAAAATTGTTTTAAAAAAAATTTCAAATTTTTTTTTACTTAAAAAGAAAAATAAAGAAATTAACTTTCGTAAATTCCATTCATTTTTTTTTCACACCCTTGCTATCCTCTAAGGATATTTCGTCTGTCTGCTGCTCTAGCCACTAAGCTATGTTGTGCTAGTCTGACCTCATGAAATTCTCTGTTTACAGATGACTGAGATACTTTGTCGAGAGAAATTTCCTTTGCTAACCCACCCATTTATTTGGTAGAGTAGCCCTGTTAAAAGCGTCGTCTGTGTCAGTTTAACTAACGGGTTTCAAATTGCTGGTGTTATGTTTTCTTTAATTTCGTTTGTATTGTTATATTCGCCCAAGAGAAACCCAACAATTACTTCACGTCGCCCAACCTCCATTACACAATACTGCTGACATCCAATTCGTTTCTTGTAAAAAAAAAAAATATGACGGTTAGTAGCGCTTTTTTTCCGGCTACGGCTTGGCTAAATAATGTTATGGAGGGATTGCCTTGATCATTCAATGGCTATTTCTTTTCACAATGCCTTTTCATATTGGGTGTGCAGGTGGTGTAATGAATAGCAGTTCGGAATGAGAAATTGACGAGACGAGTTCAAATTCTGATAGTTCGTTACAGTCACGTTCACACATACCCTAGAAAAAGAAATGTATCCATCTCTTCTCCTCCCGCCACTAACCAAACAACTATGAAATGGGTCAAATAGCAAGACAGATAGGGCTTTATAGCCATGTTTGGCAACCAGTCTAGGTGAAGTAAAACTCTGAATTCAAAACTCGGCCATGAGATTGTATAAAGATAATTAGATGTTCTATGGTGATTTTCTAAGCGTAGCTTAGACGTGGCACAAAGCCGAATGTATGTGACACCTAGTGAGGATCGAACTCATTGTACAGTTGCAATTGGTTCAGCGAGACAAGCTTGCTAACCATTTCTCTACGTTGAAGTAACCCTACAATTTATCTATGGTCATTTTCTAAGCGTAGCTTAGATGTGGCACAAGGCCGAATGTATGGGGCATCCAGTGAGGATCGAACTCTGTTCAGTCGCAACTGATCGAGCGATACAAGCTTGTTAACCATTACACTGCGTAGAAGAGCACAAGATATTCACTAAGCGTAAGTTAGAAATGGTACAAGGCCGAAAGTTTGGGACACCCAGTGAGGATCAAACTCAAAGGGACATTATCGAGATTGCTAACGCCAACGGCTTTTAGATCCAAGGAAAGTGTCATTGTAGTATACCAGACTTTACCATAAGACAGAGCAGGGAGATCTGGGTTCATGACTGTCTGTAGTTCATTAGCATGAAGTGAACATTCTAACCTGGAATTTGGATTAAGTTCAAATATTTTTATTTTTATATAAACATTGTACTGTTTATCACGTCTATATATCTATTTTATAATTTAATATTATATTTGAGAAAATTTAGCAGGATTTTAATATAAATTCCCCCTTTTCAGTTTTGAGTGAGTAAGACAAGGATGTGTCTTCTCGCCGGACTTATTCAACCTTTACAGCAAGTTGATCCGAAGAGACATAGAAGCCCTACCATGATTTGCGAACAAAATCTTAACAGAAGATAAACATATGACACCCTGTTGATGGGAGACACAGAAAGAAACGTTAGGAACTCCTACAGAAAGCGGGAAGAAAGTGTTAAACATGATTTAATAAAATGACAGAATATGTGGTTGTCAGCAAAAGGGACAACCCAAGTTGCGCGCTACAAATTGGAGATGTCAAAATCAAGTAAGTACGTAATTTTAATTATATGGAAAGTGCTTTTAACGGACGACGGGAAATGTGACACCGAAATCCGAAGGTGCACTGGAATAGCGAAAGCTGCCTTCCAAAAGTTAAGCAAAAAAAAAAAAAAAAAAAGAAAATGTCGTTTGAAACAAAAAAAAAAAGTGTGATGCATTTCTGTCTAATATCAATTCTTCTATGAGGTAGAGAATGCTGGACGATTTTCTCACAGATAAAGAAGAGACTTAAGGCAACGTAAATGCCGTTCTACAGAAGGATGCTGAGAATAACATGTGAGCAAGAAGAAAAGTTTTAGAAAAATGGAAACAAAAAGGACACTTATACTTCGAATCAGAAAAAGACATGGAAATTTCTAAGGCACATTAAGATGAAAAAAGGAAAAAAGAAAATTTAACACTCACAGACAAGAATTACAGACAGAAGCATGTTGTCATCACTTCAGGATTTTTCTTTTTAATTCCTTTTTGGTCATTCTAAGAAATATTCAGCACCTTCTCATATGTAGTAATTCTGGATGGGGGATCAGTCTATTATTTAATAACAATAGTAAATCGTTCCCTCATTTTATGCCTATTCGAATCCACGATTATAATCGTGCTTGTTCCTTTTTCCGTTATCTTGCACGACCATTATGCCCTGCCAATAACTCAAAATTAATGGACTGTCCAGTTTTGATCGTAGAATGTGGGTGGGGGATACACTGCTTGGCTAAAATGAATGAAGGAAAAAAAGAAAAGAGATAGTCTGTCTGTCAATGCACTTGTGGGATTATTAAAGAAAATGCTTACGGTCACATCATGGTGAAACACCGGTTCCCGTAAAATTACTGAAGTTAAGCAAAGTCGAGCCTGATCAATAATTAGATGGGTGACTGCTTAGGAATAACATGTACTGTAAGCTTGGATGTGCTGCTGGTGTAATAAATAATGGGTCGGAATTGTTAATCGGAGAGCTGAGTTTCAATTCCATTTCGGTTCGTTATATTCACTTATGCGCAAATGCCATTGGGAAAGGTAGGAATCCACCTCTTCTCCCCTCAGCTATGGGTTAATTAGTAAGACTTGTATCACTAAATCATTATTATCGTAAAAAAATTCTTATAATTTAAAATAAAAATTTGGCTTTAAATAACCTGTAAAGGGTTGATAATCTGTGAAAAATGAATGAATGAATGAATCAACCAATTAAATAAAGTGTATTTCAGTGAATCTCAGATTAATGTGGCTTTTTTCCCCTCCACCTTATCCCATTAATAACTAATTTAAATGTCAGTGTTAATCATAAAATTATAAACTCTGTATTAGTTAATGATTTTTATCTGTGGCTCTTAATGTCCACAATCACCCCAACCCCATGTTAGGCATTACTGGGTTAACGGTCAATCACTGAAACCGAATTGTTGTCAATTGCCTGTAGGTCGACACTTAACGTTGTTTCCCCATTGAAACTGACAATTGAACTATTTTTTTCAATTCGTTTTTTTTTTATTTCTTTATCGTTTATTTACTCTTTCTTTTTTCATTATGTATTTCTTTTCTTTTTCTGTTTTTCCTTTTACCTTTCTTTTTTTTTCGTTTTTTCTTTTTCTTCTGTTTTTTTTCCCTTTTCTTTCTTCTTTTTTGTTCTGTTTTTTCTATCCTTTTCTGTTTTTTTTCTGCTTTTCTTTCTTCTGTTTTTTCCTTTCTTCTGATTTTTCCTTTCTTCTGTTTTGTTCTGTTTTTCTATCCTTTTTCTGTTTTTCTATCCTTTTTCTGTTTTTCTATCCTTTTTCTATCCTTTTTCTGTTTTTTTTCTGTTTTTCTATCCTTTTTCTGTTTTTTCTGCTTTTCTTTCTGTTTTGTTCTATTTTTTTTTTCTTTGCTTTTCCAATTTTTCCGTTTTTCCTTTTTTTGTTTTTTATTTTCTTTTTTCTGTTTTTCTTTTCTTTTTTCTGTTTTTTCCTTTTCTTCTGTTTTGTTCTGTTTTTTTTTCTTTGCTTTTTTTCATTTTTTTCCGTTTTTCCTTTTCTGTTTTTTCTGTTTTTCTTTTCATTTTTTTGTTTTTTCTTTCCTTTTCCTATTTTTCTGTTTTTCTTTTCTTTTTCCTATTTTTCTGTTTTTCCGATTTTTCTTCTGTTTTTGTTTTTTTTTTTCTCCTTTTTCTGTTTTTTTTTTTTTTTTTTTCCCGTTTTTTTTCTGTTTTCTGTTTTTTTTTTTCTTTTTCTGTTTTTCCCCGTTTTTTCTTTTTTCTGTTTTTGCCGTTTTTTTTTTTTTTTTTTTTTCTGTTTTTTTTTCTTTTTTCTGTTTTTTTTTTTTCCTTTTTTTTTTTTTTTGCCATTTTTCCTTTCTTTTTTCTTTTTTGCCGTTTTTTTTCTTTTTCTGTTTTTTCCGTTTTTTTTCTTTTTTTTTCCCCGTTTTTCTTTTTTTTTCTGTTTTACCTTTTTTTTTCTTTTTTCTTTTTCTGTTTTTCTTTTTCTTTTTTGCCTTTTCCCTCTTTTCTTTTTTCTGTTTTTCCTTTTTCTTTTTTTTTTTTGTTTTCCCCGTTTTTTTTTTTTTTTTAGTTTTTTGCCGTTTTCTCTTTTTTTTTTTTTTTTTTTTTCTGTTTTTCCGTTTTTTTTTTTTCTGTTTTTGCTGTTTTTCTTTTCTTTTTTTTTGTTTTGCCATTTTTCTTTTCTTTTTTCTGTTTTTGACGTTTTTTCTTTTCTTTTTTCTGTTTTTGACATTTTTCTTTTCTTTTTCTGTTTTTTGCCATTTTTTTTTTTTTTTCTTTTTTGCCATTTTTTCTTTTTTTTGCCATTTTTCTTTTTTTTTTTTCTTTTCTTTTTTCTGTTTTTGCCATTTTTTCTTTTCTTTTTTCTGTTTTTGCCATTTTTTCTTTTCTTTTTTCTGTTTTTGCCATTTTTTCTTTTCTTTTTTCTGTTTTTGCCATTTTTTCTTTTCTTTTTTCTGTTTTTGCCATTTTTTCTTTTCTTTTTTCTGTTTTTTTTTTCTGTTTTTTGCCATTTTTTTTTTTTTTTCTGTTTTTGCCATTTTTCTTTTCTTTTTCTGTTTTGCCATTTTTTTCTTTTCTTTTTCTGTTTTGCCATTTTTCTTTTCTTTTTCTGTTTTTGCCATTTTTCTTTTCTTTTTTCTGTTTTGCCATTTTTCTTTTTCTTTTTCTGTTTTTTCATTTTTTTTTTTTTTCTGTTTTTGCCATTTTTTCTTTTCTTTTTCTGTTTTGCCATTTTTTCTTTTCTTTTTCTTTTTTGCTTTTTTCCATTTTTTCTGTTTTTGCCTTTTTTTCTTTTCTTTTTTCTGTTTTTGCGATTTTTCTTTTCTTTTTTCTGTTTTTGCCGTTTTTCTTTTCTTTTTTCTGTTTTTGCCTTTTTTCTTTTCTTTTTTCTGTTTTTGCCATTTTTCTTTTCTTTTTTCTGTTTTTGCCATTTTTTCTTTTCTTTTTTCTGTTTTTGCCATTTTTTCTTTTCTTTTTTCTGTTTTTGCCATTTTTTCTTTTCTTTTTTCTGTTTTTGCCATTTTTTCTTTTCTTTTTTCTGTTTTTGCCATTTTTTCTTTCCTTTTATCCGTTTCCCTTTTCTGTTTTTGCCTTTTCTTTTTCCTTTCGATTTTTGTTTTTTCCCTTTTTCTCCTTTTCCCTTTACTTTTTTCGTGTTTTTCTTTTTGTTATTTCTTCTTTCCATTTTCATTTTCCGATTTTCATTTTCGTTTCTTTATTTTTTTTTTTTTAAATTTCTTTTTTACTTTTTCATTTTTCCTTTTTTTTTTAACTTTTTCTTTACTTTTTCGTTTATTGCTTTTTTAACATTTTTCTCATTTTTAACTTTTCTATTTTCTTTTTTTTCGTATTTTTTTCTATATTCGTTTTCAATTCTTTCTTTTTACTTTTTTCTTTTTCTTTCTATTTTCGTTTTTCATCTTCCTTTTTTTTCTTTTTGTTTTACTGTTTGTTTGTTTTTCCGTTTATTTGCATTTTCCGTATTTTTTGTTTATTCCGTTTTTACGTTTTTATTTTTTACTTTTGTTTTTAATTGTTTTTTGCTTTTCTCTTTTTTTCGTTCTCTCATCTTTTTGTTTTCCATTTTGACCAGTTCAGTGATTGACTAAACTCATTTCATCTATCTATTACGAAATTCTTTCACCATCACTCTATCTTCATTCAAATTGTAACTGTTATTAACAAGCTCTTTAGAAAAAAAGCGTCATTTATTTCCAGAATGAGTATTTTGGTTCTGTAGACTGATCCATTGAAAATAAGCTTATTTGAATCTTGTATCGTTTTTCAGGAACCTTGGCAAATCCTAATCAGCAAAAATGATTCACTACCTTTGCATTTGTCGTGGCATGACCATCATCACCTCCCAGCAGAGACCTGGTTGTACCAGGGATTTTGAAGACATTGTGATATCTATGCTTTCTAACATCCCAACAGATCAGGACAGACGCACCTCCTACACTTCTGACAAGTAAGTAAAACCTCTTTTCAGTCGGGATCTATTTTGCTTTGTGTTGGTTGAAATTTTGCAACTAATCTCGAGAGCCACTCAATGTAAAGTTTTGCAGTCAAAATGCTGACGATAAATGATGTGAATCAGTGTTGGTGACAGTTTTATGAGGATAAGGAGGAGGATGAATAATGATTGACCTTGGCTTGAAAAGGTCAGGATTGAAATGTCCAGGGAAGTCATTTCCATAGAGTTGCACTTCTTGGGGAAAAAAAAAAGGTGTCTACATGGAACATTTTTTTTACAATTGAAAGACAGAGGAAATAAGTTTGATTCAACTCTGTGGAAGTGGCAATGAATCTGAAGACTGATTTGATTCGTCATTTAGATTAAGATATTTAAAAAAAATAAAGAGTGTATAGGTAGACAATGGACATTTTTGTTTTTTTAATCATTTCATCCCATGCAGGTCAATAAAGTGATTAACACAATGAGTTATACAGTGAGAGAATATGAGAAAAAGGAAACATTATTATGGAGATCGAACAATAAAATAAACAGGAATTGAGAAGATAGTAAATAATGATTGACATTGCATTTAAATTTTTGAAGATCAAAGTTTCCTGGAAAGCATTGATGTAGAATGGAGTTCCACAAGCAAGAAGTGCGAGAAAAGAAACTGTCAGTTTAAAATTTATGGTTGCATCAAGCCATTTCAATTGTAAAATGATGAGACCATTCTGCCAATCTAGTACTGTGCTTGAATTCATTAATTTTAACATTCAGAAAAAGAGGATTACAGTTCTTTCATAGTCTTCAATGAGTCATGATTGAATCCTATAGAAAATCTATGGCAAGAATTGAAAGTTCAAATAAATCATCGGCTATCAAGATCCTTCAGAAATTAGAATGTGTAACCATTGAAGTATAGAAGAAAATCTCAGAAAAGACTTGTTCAAATCTCATCAAAACTTTAGAAAATGATTGCAGCAAGTTATAAAGATGTGAGGCCATGCTATCGACTATTAATATTGTGGAAATTGTTCAATTTTTTCTATTTTGTTGTATTTAACCTATTATAACGAATCCAACAGAAATTAGAACTCAGCTCTCTGATTAACAATTTTGAACCATTTTCCATTACACCACCTGCACATCCAAGCTTAGAGCACCTGATATGACCAAGGAGTCAGCTATTTAAGTACTGACCAGACTTGACATTGCCTAACTTTGGGTGGTTGTATGAGAACTAGTGTTTCACCATGATGTGGCAGTAAGCCAAGAACTGTATGAAGAAAGTATAAAGTCTCATTGTATTCTATTATTTCAATAGCTGCTCAAAAAAAACTCATTCCTGATGAGTGTCCTCTTTGCTTAGAGCACCTGGTATGACCAAGCAGTTATCCATTTAAGTACTGACCAGACAACATTGCTTAACTTTGGTGATTGTATGAAAGAAAACTGGTGGTTTCAACGTGATGTAGCATATGTTTGAATGTTTTATATATATATATATATATGTTTTTATATATATATATATATATATATATGAATGTTTTTATATATATATATATATATATATATATATATATATATATATATATATATATATATATATGAATGAATATTTTTATATATATATTTATATATATATATGTTTTTATATATATATATATGAATGTTTTTATATATATATATATATGTTTTTTTTATATATATATAATTCAAACAAGGCCAACACATCGCCAGAAGATACTCAGATTCTGAATATCACCCAAGAACAAATATCTTGTGCACCCCTTGCTTTGCAACTAAATGGAGATTCTTGATTGGAAAAATAATGTATTCAAGCCATCATTGGCCTTAGATGAAATGGTTGATAGATTAATCTTCCCACATTTCTCATACAGTTTTTTTTAAATATTTCAGTTACCAGTTCCATTGCAATGTCGACAGTGGCATTCTTTTCCTTTGTGTCGCAGATAGTGACATGGGAAAACCAGCACCTCATTCCTGCCTTTCTGAAGTAAGGACTCTACTGTTTTTTTTTGTTTTTGTTTTTCATTTTGAAGGTGTGATTTTTATGTTTGCATTTACTCCTCTTTTGTCTACAACAGAGTTTCTCAACGAGTGTGCTCAGGAAAATATGCCCCGAAACATAGCCAATTGCACCTGAGTTAACAAGAATAATTTATGAATGATTTTTATATTTAAATAATTTTTAATTTTAAAAAACTAGAGACACTAAGTGCATAGCTTCCATGTCTAAGACAAGTTTTTGTCATTTGATATTTTAACTTGGATACTAAATTCCTTAATCTTTAAGGAGTAGATAATCCTTTTCCTTTTGACTTCCTCAAGGGATTTAAATTGGTCATTATGGCCTCTGTTTTAAAAAAAAAAAAAAAAAAAAAAAAAAAATAGCAGATTCTTGATAAATTCCATTAAATGTTAACAGTACTGCTAAACCAAAATTTTATATTTTTAAACTTCATGGCTAAGTTGTCCTTATTAAAACTTAAAATGTTCCCCCAAAATTGTAGTTATTCTACAAGTGTGTTTTGAAGTAAAACATGTTAGGAAACACTGCTTGACCGCAATGTTTTTTTAACCTTTTTTTTTTTTATCTTATAGCATACCTGAACCTAGAGTTAAACATCTGATGCAGCACACTTAAATTATGATCAAAAATAGATTAAAAAAGAGTAAAAATGATAATAATTAAAATTCTTAAAAAGAATTTTAATTGACTGCTATATCTATATAGAATTAATACAAGTAAAGTTTTGTCACTTAGCTGATAGATTTTACCTTCAGCATCCTGACTCCAGAGATTTTTAGACGAACTCTTCAAGAATAACTCTGTCCACTCGTCAGGGAGTATCAGTAATTGACTGCTTATACTTCTCGATTTTTCTTGTTTATATACACTTTTCATTAGTGCAAGTTTTTTGGGTGGGGTTGTAGTGTATGTGTACATTTGCATGTGTAGAATGTCATGGTTATTTGTCTTTTTCATTTTCTTTTTCACGTTACATTCACTCCTCAGGTTTTTTTTTTCTTTTCTTTCGATTGTAACCATATTGACTTCCAGTTTTCTAGACATATTCTGTTGTTAATTCTTGGGCGTTCGAATACTTTCATGAGTCAGGCAAATTGTATTTAATTTTTCTCCATAAATAATTTATTTTAATGCTTAAATAATAAAATAAAGATTTAAATATGTTTTCACTTGGCCATTATTTTGTTTTCTTTTCTGATTTGGTGGTATCTTAAGTAGTATTAGAGGATTAATTGTAAGTGGTTAGATTTATAATTTTCATTTGAATTATTATGCCTACATTCATGTTTAAATAAATATATATATATATATATATATATATATATATATATACACACACACATATATATATATTATTCCAGGATCATTTTCCAACTTATTCAAGATGATGTCTGCCCTCTCTAACCTAACTTTCTGTCCTGAAGTGACAAGGTGCCGTACAGGTTTCACATACAATTTCATTTTCACTGCTCTTTGGACTGTGATAGCTTAAACTTAAATTTTGATTCTGATTTTCTTATCTTAAGTACTATTAGGGCATTAATCATAAGTGGTTAGATTTATAATTACATTTTTATTTGAATAATAATGCCTATATTCATATGTTTAAATATACACACACACATATATATATATATATATATATATATATATATATATAAATTAACTGATTTAAATTAAATAAAAACATTAGTTCTGTTTCATCCTCAAGTGAATTTTGGAATAACTTATTTTTAAATTTACTGAGTTTTAAACTCACTTACAATTCATAATTTTTTGTTTCCAAGGATACAGAGAAATCCAATCAATATTTATGCTCTGTAAATTTACATTGAGCACTGTTTTGTAAAAATAAAATAAAAAAATCAATAAGAACACCGGATTATATATCTTGGTGTTCTTTCTTTTTATTATAATATATATATATATATATATATATATATATAGACATACATGCATATATATATATATGTGTGTGGATATGTGAATATATTTTTATGTGGGTACACGCCTATGTGTATGTATGTATATGTTATTGTGTATGTATGTATTTGCATGTGTTTTTGAACATAGAAATATAGGTCCTTGCTGGATTAGATAATCGTTATATTTATTTTTATATTTGATTTGTAACCTGTAGTCGATATTAAATTTGTCAAATTTTCTCAATTACAAAGTGGCCCTTTAAGTAAACGCAATTTTACTTTCCTTCGTCCCATCTTTCTCCCCCACATCGTCTTTCCCTCCCTCTAATTCTAACATTAGATTGTCTATGGTGTGTGTATGTCACCATGAAATGTATCTTTATGCATTAGACATCCGACAACATTCATTTTTCTCTTACTTAAACCCCTTCCACCCATCTCTCCTAAAATTCTCTCTGTTAAGGTTTAATCTCCCTCCTCCTCATACTTACACTCTCTCTAAATTCTGTTTTTATTTCCGGAGTTGTTTTTTGTTGTTTTCTTTTTGAATTTGTAGGTCTGATGAATTGGATCGTATTGACGATTCCAATGGAATAAATTATGACCATGGAATATTAGTGTTTAAGCCTTTTTATTATATCCTTACTCTGTCCTAGACATTGAGTTCTACCTGGATTCTTCCTCTTGGAATTTTTATTCAAAAAATATACATGTATGGGTATTGATATATTTTGTATATGTATGTATATTTACCAGTAATATTATCTATCTATATATATATATATATATATATATATATATATATATATATATAGAGAGAGAGAGAGATAGATAGAGTCATGCATACTTTGACACAGATGTGACAGACATGAATGTCACTAGTAACAGTTCCTGCAACCTCGTTGCCATGTATTTTAACATGTTGTTTTTAATCCTACTGCACTTTTGCACATGCATTACATGTTGTATTATTACACATACATGTATAGATTTCCACATGCATTACATCTATTATACAAGGATACACACATCGATATACAGTCATATATATACAAATACATATTTTTTATTTTATATATATATATGAACACACATTTTAATATATTTTAATTTTATACATTATTTTTATGGATATAATTTATTTGAGTAAATGCTCTGATTTTAATTAAACAATATTAAATATGGGTCTGAATATCTGAGAAATCTTGTAGAAAATATGTTCTCTGACACAAATTGAATCTGTATCCAAAATGGCAATTGCCATTTAGCCTGACATGCTGTTAACTGGTTCAGCAAAAGAGGACTTATGGTTTAGCAAAGTTCAAATTACTGCTTATAAACACACACATTCGACGACCTTTCTCGATAATCATTTCTGCTCCGAAACGTAATGTAATGTAAACAATGACAATGTATCATATGTAATGGATTAAATCTGACAAATATTTTAATATATTTTCTGTTCATACGTTATTTTTATGGATATAACTTATTTAATTAGAAACAAAGCATTTACTCAAATATTAAGTTCTAAATAACATTTTGTTGAAAACCCTTGGTAAGGAATTTTTCCTTAGCAGGTGAAATGGCCATCCATATCGCGTACTGAGTTTCATTAAATGTAAATTATCTATATATGCTCTACAGTAAATATATTGAGCTCTATGTATGTATATGTTCACTTATATGAATAAAGATAAAAGGAAAACTTAGTCGATGTGTATTGTCCTATGGCCGACTTTATCAAACAACAAATCTTTATAAACAAAAAAAAAATTAGTTTTTCAACATTTTTAAATTTAAGAGATGCTCATAAATATTCATCATGTTAACTGAAAGTCAGGGTAAATTATGGAAGCTGCTAAGTGATGTAATTTAATGTCTAATGACCGAAGGCCACAAAAGAGTGAGACACCCAGTGAGCAAAAAACTTTTGTTTTTTATTGTCTGCATTTATTTGATTTTTTCACTTTGAAAGAACGAAAGATTCAGCATAATCTTCTAAACGTTTCCTTGCTTGATCTTACGCTAAAAAAACCATTGTAGGCCACGCTACCTACTGCACAGGCCATTCTGCAATTAGTAGGAGAATCAAAATGTGTACAATATCGGAAGGTTTAAAACAAGAGAAAAATGAATAGGAAAAATTATAATTTCAAGACAAATAAAGGGAGACAACTTTCTCGAGTTATCGCCCTTTAACTTAGCATATATCACTCGTCGGTGTAACAGCAAAATATCTTTTATATAAAGTAAATACTATTAAAATGATAGACATATATATATATATATATATATATATATATATATATATATATATATATATATATATATATGTGTTTTTATATATATATATATATATATATATATATATGAAGAAAAATATACAAAAAAAAAACAAAAATCTTAATATGCAATTATGCTGTATTAATGTTAATATAAAGTCAACGTCGGACGTTTCGGTCTATTTTAGACCATCATCAGGACATATTCATAAAATATAATTCACATTAGAACATATAAAATTCAACATGAAAAAGACGATGGATATATGAGCACAACTAATCCAAACAGATAACTGAAATTTTTTATATAAGATCAGCGTTCCGTTTAAATATGATCACGTTGTTGTCACGTGTGCGATGTTGTGAAAATATATTTTGAAATCATTTTTGATTTACTTTATAACATGGAAGACTTCAAGCTTGTATGAAAATATAAGGACCTATTGATCTCTGCGTATTGCTATATCAACGGAAAGGATCTATATCCATATATTTGCTTACATACATACATATATATATATATATATATATATATATATATATATATATATATACAAAAGAAATTTTGTGGGGATTTAGAGAAATCATAATTAAGTAATTCAGTGAGCCCAGAATAATTTGTTCATCAGGAATGTAATTAGGAAAACCTTTATTAAGGAGAACTTGTTTAATGTTTTTTTATTCTGCACTCGATGAATTACTTATGATATATATATATATATATATATATATAATTATTTGTTTAAAAATATGATTCCAACACGCTACATAAGAGTTCTCATGTTTCAAAACAAGAGCCGAAAACTTCAATATAATTATTAGAATTAAATTGAAATGAATTACTAAGCTCTGTTCCATCTTCAAGCAAAATTTGTTTTGGAATAACTTATTTCTGAAATTTACGTGTTTTATCAGCATATTCATTATTAAAATCAAAGTTTCTATGGTAATGGCTAGAGCAATTGTTTAAAGAAAAAGGGGCGTAAAGTGTTAATAATTTGTATCAATATCTCGGTTACATTCACAGATGTCAACTCAGGGTAAGGTTGGGGTGTCTAAATTTAAAGCGGAAGAAGAGATCGCTTAGTCTGGTTAAGCATCTATGGAGATTATTTATTTTTTATTTTATTTCTTATTTTTTTCTGAAAGGGTTTTGTGTATATAAAAACTGTCGTAAATCGCTAACATTTGTTTTTTGACGCCTTCATAAAGGGTTATCATTTTTGGTAGGGCATTTAAACTATTTATTATGACTATGTATTTTAAAAATTATTTTATTGTTTGTCAATTATTCAATGCAAAAATTTGATGATGTCAGCAAAAGACCGTTAACTCATGTTTATTGTTTAATAGATTTTTATTATTTAGAAACTTAATAATGTGTAGTTTTTCATGTAGGCATAAATGGCATGGGTCATCCCAAGTTTTACAAGTTCTAGTTTTGTTTATAATTTTCCATTTTACTTTTGGTGTTTTATTCATTTCCTTCAGATGCCAAAAATATTTAGATAGAGATGTCTGATTTCTTTTATTTATATTGTTGAAAGAGCATTTATGCTGCCTCTATCTGGTTTTAAATTCATTCTTCGTAGACCCAGTGTATATCCTATTAGTATTAGGACTCTAATATATATATATATATATATATAGTTTAAGGTGTGCTATATTTATGGGATAAAGTGCTCAATATCAATAAAGCATATGTAAATATAAGAGTCAACACTGAAGTCAGCACTCAGAAGCGACAGACTGTTTCATGCTAAATGCAATCATCAGGCCAAACTTTTATATACTTATATATATATATATATATATATATATATATATATATACTTACGAAATTTTAGGATTTTTTCATCTTGTTTGTAGTTAGTGTATTTGATTGCAGTATAGTAGGTTGATATGTTTAAGGATTATTTGAAGAAGCATTATAATCTTTTTGGGTTATGTTAATGTTTTTAATACCTCATTTAATTTGTTCATCAGTAATGTAATTAGGAAAGTCATTATTAATGAGTGTTTGTTTAATGTTTTTTAATCCATTGTAGAAAATTCTTTTTGCGAAAGCGTAAACTTTTGTACAGTTTATTAAATTTTGTTTAATAGCTATTTTGTAATACTTACAAAATTCATTTCTATAGTTAAGAGTGCATGTGTTTATGCTATTTAATTTTTTTTATATGTGGTGGTAGTAAATGAAATTCATCAACATCTCTAATTACGAACTAACAGAACATCAAAAGGAATTACACAAACTTAGACCTAACTGTCATCTGCACAGACAATTGGATTAAAAAACTGAAATTAAAATTGCTATATGAAAACATACAAAAACTTAAAGAACAACTAATAAAAAACAAAACCAGAAATTTATCTTCTATGCAAAGCTGCAGTAATAAAAGACAGATGTAACAAAAACAAAAAACTCATTCATGCTCCTAAGAAAATAATTAAAAATTGCTACCAGGGAGCTACATAACCATACACATATAATTTAAAAATAAAAAGCAGATAAAAGCAATACCTTTGATGTATTAAATAAATCTGAATATAATTCAAAATTACAACAAATAATTGATGATCACATCAAATTTAAAAAGTCAACAAAAATCCTATAAACCAAGTGAAATTAAAAATCAACAAAAATTGATCACAGGTAACAACGAAGAACAAGACAACTTAAAACTTCCCAAAATAATTGTTACACATTTTCTGCAACCACATCATCCCATTACCTACCTCCCCAAACTGCAACCCTCTTGATTATTATGTGGGGGCACAGTTGAGTGAGAAAGCAACAAATCACCTTGTAACACTAAAGATGAACTGAAGGCAAGTATGATGACAGTGTTCATCAACTTAAACAAGGAGAACGTCCAGAAGAGCTGCAGGAGATTGCAAAGTCATCTAGAGACCGTGGTTGAGTTCATTGATGATTTTTATTGAATAATTTTACAAGTATTTCAAGATATTTTTGTGTAATTTTAGTAAATATGTGAGTTATTTTCGTTTTTACATAATTTGGATGACAATTTATTCATCGCACCCTATATATATATATATATATATATATATATATATATATATGAAGAAAATATCTGTAAAAACAAAACAAAAATCCTTAAAATGCAATTATATTGTTTTAATATAAATGAAATGTCGACGTCTGACGTTTCAGTTTAATAACCTTCTTCAGGACAATATTCATTAAAAATACAATTAACATAATCAGTATAACACGACGAAAACATTATATATTATATATTAAAACAACATAATCGCATTTTAAGGATTTTTGTTTTGTTTTTCCAGATATTTTCTTCATTCTGTCGGATTTATATCCATTTATATTTGCTTATCATATATATATATATATATATATATATTTTACCAATTAAGATTTTTGTATAAAAGTTAGAGCTATTGGCTCTTTATTTTTTAAAACTTCTTTTTTAAAGGACATATATTTATTTTATTGTAAAAAAAAAAAAAAAGTTTTGTCTATATCTTTCTTTCATGTGAAAGTTTAATTGAATCTAGACTGTTAATTTTTTTTTTTTAAATTCTTTTATATAAAAAAGCCAATCTTAACCCATAAGCTTCTGGATTATTGGAATATCTCCTAAACTGAAGCAAATTGTATACTGTTTTACATTTTATTTCCAACATGTTAAAACTAGCATTTTAAAAAATTATATGTATGTATGTATTATATATATATATATGTATGTATGTATATATGGCAAATATTATTAAAAATGATATATACTGCCTGTGTAGGCAGCAAATGTTCTTTATTTAAATATTATTAAAATCAATAGATATTTTGTGTCAATTAATTTTAATGATCAGCTTTTCCATGTTACAAATAATCCTTCTCAGGAAATTCTATGAAAGACTGTCTGTTCATATAAGGAGAAAAATACAGGAAATAGGGGCCAAGTTTTCAGCTTTCTTAAGGGAACTGAAGTTCAGACAATTTCTGAAGGAATTTCCATTTTGTCTGAGAAGGATTATTCATAACTTGGAAAAGCTGGTCATTAAAATTAATCAACACAAAATGACTGTCGTTTTTTAGTAGCATTTGCCTTAAAGAACATTTCCTGGCTAAATACACAGAATACATATATATATATACATATATATATATATATATATATATATATATATTTCTGAGAGTTAACCTGTAGAAAAGACAATATTTAAAATATAAATGACAATAGGAAAAACTAGTAGTTGCTGATGCGTTTCGTCCCATGTCGACTTTCTCAAAGCAAAAAACGAAATTAATTTAATTAAACAAAGTAACTAGTAATGTCTAGTTTTTGCCTTGACAAATTCATTAGGCTCTATTTTAAACTCTATATCATTGTTGAATGAATCACCCCTCAAATTCTCAGTCTTGAATGATTACTGAGAACGGATAAAATGATTATATAGATATAGTTATAACTGTATATAGAATATAGTTATAGATATAGTTATAACTGTATATAGAATATAGTTATAGATATAGTTATAATTGTATATAGAATATAGTTATAAATATAGTTATAAATTTGCTTGTTATTTATAATTGATTTTAATACTTATTTTTTATTAATAGTTCTGATGAATCGGTCAACAATCTATTCCCCTTCATTGTTTATGACTACAAACTAATGACCCACAAATTGTTCAATGTCTAGTTTTTGCCTTGACAAATTCATCAGGCTCCATTTTAAACTCTATATTATTGTTGAATGAATCACCCCTCATTATATTTAGGAGAGACAATGGTTAACCCTGAAGATGAAGCTGTTAAGATTGTAGTGATCAGGGAAGCATCCTCTTGGAGCCTGTCCCATGAATAGCTGTTCTTGTGAGGAAGCTTCAACTTCCTTCATATTGATGGAATATGGAGAGAATGAGCACTCTGGAGTAATGGATTCCTCTGATTGAGGAATCAGAGAGCCAAGTTTGAATTCCAATCGAATCCATTACATTCACTTACATACTAATGTCCTTGGGAAAGGTATGAATCCTCTTCTCCTCCCAGCTATGGGTAAATAGCAGGGCAGACCAAGTTCTATAGCCTTGGATGGCAAATGGTCTAGCATAGAAAGGAACAGCAACCTATTGCGGAAAAAAATCTGCCTTGTCAGTCATGTATTGAAAGATACATGATCACCTATGCGAGTATCACGCATGGCATATAACTGACTGACTGAAGGGAATAGAGATGATTTGTCTCTGTTTAAGTGGCATGGTGAGCCTTTACTGTGTAGGTTTGAACTGGTGGGTCTAATGGATGTACCTGAAAAAATATATTATTCTTTAGTTTTGTTTTGTTCATAAAACATAATTAGCTCTTAAAATTAGATCCTGATAATTTTCACATTTAGAGATAAAAGTACAAATATCTAAATTTATGTCCTTTGACCTTCATTTTTAATTTAGCTTAACCTAACCTCTTATAATTTGTTGTATTTACTTTTCTTTCATGAAGGTCAAAAAACACTTCAAACGGGGTAACTTTGGATCAAGAGCTGTGGCTGCAGGAAGTCATGAACTAGATCAAGAATTTGGAAGTGTGTTGCGCACAGAAATGGTAAGTTAACCGATTTGTCAGGAAGCTGATTTACATCTCCTAAAGTCTGATTTATAATACGATTTAACAACATTTAACTTAACTCAGATCAGGGTTATTAAGTAAAATTTCTTACGATACAAAAAAAAAGTATTGTTCATTTTTGTCAAATTTTCCTTTCAGCTTATTTCACCTGCTTTTTATTACACTATTACTAAGAGATGTAATAGTCCTTAAATGAAGAATTATATCTGGTTCTTACATAGATTAATTCATTTTTTTACAATTGATTTTAATACTTATTCTTTATTAATAATTCTGATGAATCAGACAATCTATTCCCCTTCATTGTTTACAAACTCCTGCCAATGATCCACAAATTGTTCAATAGAAATATTCGTTGTAAACATTTTTGCTGTAAGAAAATTCACCTCAGGAATTTTTGCCATAGAAAACTTTGCCATATAGGATTTTTGCTGTAAGACAACTTCACTGAATTTTTTTTAATATGCAAAGTACCTTGTTACCAAGTATATCTGGCTCACACTATTGTTACTTCGATTTAAACATTTTAATAAGCAAAGTTATAAGGTCAAAATCCTGCATCATTCATCCTTGTCAGTGAGGAGCACAAAAAGTTCAACTTGATTCCAAAGCCAATGTCACACAAAACACATTATTTATGAAGCATTATTTGGAATTTGCACACATTTTAAATTATTTCTTTGTTAATTTGATATATTTTTATTATTTTATTTTTTAAATAAATGTTTACTTTTTAATTTCTTTCCTGATGTTTGATCCTGTACAAAAGACATCCATATATATTTGATAACGGGGTACTTTGCATATTAAACTGAACATTAGAAAAGGGACGTTCAAGATAAGGGTACCAAAAAAAATGTAGCGTAATTGTCTTACAACAAAATTCCTATATGGCGAAAATTCCTGAGGCACGTTTTCCTATGGCAAAAATGTTTGTGGCGAATGTTCCAGATACAGTTTTAAGCTTCACAACATTGTTAAACAAAATGTTAGAAAACAACTGAAAAAGGTGGTAGTTCGAAGGAGCTAAAACAAGAGAATATGATGGGTGTGGCAGAATTTCCCGTCCGAGCTCTTTAACCGCATGTTTGGTCATGTTAGCTAGTGTGGGGTGACAATTGTCATGTTTGGATAATCACACTGTATTGTCTACCAGATCTTTTCAACTGAATTGCCTTTTTGAGTCTGTTCATTTGTTCAAGATAAAGATTAACATTGATCGTTTAGTAGTTTTGAAACATTTAATCTCTGTACACAGCATAAAATGCCTCAAGCAGGTTTGGCAGCTTTGTGACTTTGATTAAAAGCAAAGAAGAGATGATGTCGAACATGCTCATTCTTGTCTACTTGGCAGTCCATCTCAAAGGGGTTCTAATCTGAGCTAAAATTTCAATGATGTGAAACCACAATTTCACAGGATGTGAAATATATCTAATGACCTAATAAATTATTTGTAACAAGTACTTTAATCTTGTTTCTGTAGCATTTTTATTACACTAGTTATTGATTAGCTGTATTAGTCTTTGAATTTTTTTATACTTCATGGAAAGTAACATGAGAAAACAATTTGAAAATACTTAAACTGTCAACATGATGTCCGACCTTAAAGAAATAGGTTCATACTAAAACATATATAATAGATCATCTATAAACTGTCTATCTGTTATGGTCCAAGTTCCTTGTACCCTGGTGATGGTCCAAGGTTAGAACCAATGAAAGGATAACACGAACACAGGTATGGAATACAAAGATATATTACAACAGAAATATAATACAAAGAAGTAGAAGTATTAGTAATGACTATCAGATTTGGTTAGAGTGAACTATGTTGTCTCGACCAGTATCACTATTCCAATGTCCTTACAATATGCTCTCAATTATCTCTCCTTGTCTTACAATCTCCTCATACCTTTTGAGAGGCGCAGGATTTATAATGTCAGGAATAGTCCATTATTATTATGTGTAAGTTCCCATAACAATATCTATAAAAGATACGTTTAACTTGAAAGTATAAAATTATGCACAAAGTATCTGTAATTGAAATCATAAAATTGCGTTCAAAATTAGATCTCAGCATTAAAAAAACAAAAAAAACAATAGAAATTGGTATTTCTCTCAAGAAACTCAACCAAATCAACCAAACATTGGAATTTCTTAGATATATATCCATTTACTGTAGTCGAGTTAGTTTCAAAATTAATAGTATTAGCTATAATAGTCTTTGAATTTTTTATACTACAAGGAAACCAACATGAGAAAACTATTTGAAGCTAGTGAAACTGTCAATATAATATCCTACTTTGAAGTAAGAGGTTTATGCCAAAACACATACCGTCTGTCACAGCAAAATTGTCCAAATTGTTTAACAGCAAAATAGTTCAATTGTTAGATTAAGCTCTGAACCTAGATTATGATCATAGAAATGATTAAAGTTATCTTATTTGAGTTCTCCGAGGTTTTTATAATACTATTGGACTGTATTTTTAATTATTATTTTTTTTGTCATTTCATGAGTGTCTTGGTGTTTATTTCCATCATTGCTCCACAGTTTGGTTGATTTTGTTGAGTTTTTATTACACTAGTAGTATTAGCTATAATAGTCATTGAATGTCTTATGCTATGAGGAAACAACATGAAAAAAGCAATTTGAAGATATTGAAACCATCAATATAATGTCCGACCTTAAAGAAATAGGTTCATACTAAAACATATACAATAGTTCATCTATAAACTATATATCTATGAAAGATACGTTTACCATGAAAGTATAAAATACCCTTTCAAGCTGAATAACTCACCAGGTTTTTCATTGATTCTTATGATAAATGGTATCAAGATGGCTAATATAAAGACCCAGAAAAAAAAACACAATTAGTGTTTTTTTTTTATTATTTTATTTTTACTTTTTTATTTTTTTTATTTTTTTTTTTTAATTTTTTTTTTTTTTTTTTTTTTATTTTTTTACTTTTTTTTTTTTTAACTTTTTTTTTTTTTCATTTATTTTTTTTTATTTTTTTTTTTTATTTATTTTTATTTACTTTTTTATTTTTTATTTACTTTTTTTATTTTTTATTTACTTTTTTATTTTTTATTTTTTATTTATTTTTTTTATTTTTTTATTTACTTTTTTATTTTTTATTTACTTTTTTTTTTATTTTTTATTTATTTTTTTTTTATTTTTTATTTACTTTTTACTTTTTTTTTTATTTACTTTTTTTTTTTATTTACTTTTTTATTTACTTTTTTAAAACTTTTTTTTTTTTTTTTAAACTTTTTTATTTTTTATTTTTTTTAAATTTAAAAAAATTTTTTTTTTTTTTTTTTTTTTCTTAGATATTAAACATTTTATTGGGATGGATAATTATGATGTTACATGTTTTTGGCAATTCTGCACTTAGCCCGATACAATAAATCATCTATAAACTATATATCTATAAAAGATATGTTTACCATGAAAGTATAAAATTATGTATACATTATCTGTAATTGAAGCCATAAAATTGCATTCAGAATTAGATTTCTGCATTAAAAAAAGCAATTGAGATTGGTAATTTTCTAAAGAAAATCAACCAAATCAAACATTTGAATTTCTTAGATAAGGTGTTAATTATTATCAATTTTTGATTAGCATTTTTTCTTCTTACTTCTCTTGCTTTTTGTTAAACTTATTAATATCAGCCACATTGGTGGGGGTTTAACTATTTGCCCATAGCTGGGACCCTGACGAGTGCTACCACCCTGCTTTCTTAAAAATACACTTCTCTCAAAAGAACATGTTAAAAAAAAAAAAAAAAAACACACACACACACGCAATCCAGATGATTAAACATTATTATTACACTAATGACTAACAGTAATAAAAAATAAAATTTTGATAGTTCTCTTTAATTCTGCTGATGATTTTTTCTCATTTGCAGGAACGATATTCAAAGCCTGGCAATGCTGGTGGTGCCATGGGTGAATTGCACTCCCAAGTCGAAGAAGTCAAAGGTATTTTGACACAGAACATTGAGAAAGTAATGGAAAGAGGCGATAAACTCGATGATTTGATGGACAAGACATATGAACTGGAAGAGCAGGTAGGCATATATTGTCAGCTTTGTATTGGCCTTTTAATGATAGGTAACATGAAAAATGGATCCAGATGAATAAAACCTATAGTTGTTCTAGAAAAGACCGTCCTTCTTTGAACCTCATAGATTGGCAATACAGAATCACTAAGAACTCTGTCAAATAAGAGAAACCTTGAGGACTACCAAAAGCAGCAACAACTAAAATGAATAGCATATGTAACTCAAAGAGAAATTAATCAAGATGTTGACATTCCACATAGTAAAATGTTAGGAATGAAAGCCTCATCAGTACTGGAAAGACTGATAACAGCTCCTGGACACGAGAAACTTATTTTCCTGAAAAATTGTTTTAAGAGAAAGATCTAATGACAGAGAAGTTGTATAAAACTTACCAATTGTCTCTACCTATCCTGATGAGGATTTAAGAAAGTTGAAACCTCACACTATATTTCTTGTACTTTTCTTCTCAAATGAACTTTGTTCAATTCCTGGTAGAATTAACTCTTTGTCCGTGATGAATTTCCTCTTTATCTGAGAAAAATTATTTGTAACTTGGTTGGAACAGTCAATCATTGAAATTAAATGAGACGAAATGTCTGTCGTCTTGAAATGTATTTCCCTCAAAGAAAAGTTGGTGCTTAAATACAAATGACTAATATATATATATATATATATATATATATTTAAAGAAATATAACAGCTTATTTTTTTAAATAGGATTGTTACCATTTGAAAAGTTTGCTAAGCTAACCAATTGTCTCTACCTACCCTGATGATGACTTAAGAAAATTGAAATTTAAATTTCCTGTTTTTTTCTTCCGAAAGGAACTTCCAGCATTTTTTGATGGAATTTCCTCTTTATCTGAGAATTATTGATAATTTGGTTGGAACAGTCGATCATTGAAATTACCCGAGACAAAATGTCTGTCGTTTTTTAAATGTATTTCCCTTAAAAAAAGCTGAAAGCTTGAACTATATTTCTTGTATTTTTTTTTCTGAAATGAACTTTGCACAATTTCTGATGGAATTAACTTTGTCATAGATGAATTATTCATAATTTGGAAAAAATAAATTAAAAGTGGACACAAAACATCTTGTTTTTAATAATAATAAAAATAATTATATATATATTATTAATAATATATTGTTCTACTTTGTATTGAGCAGTTTCTTCAAAAGTAAATACAACAGTGGATTTTTACTCCATCTGTTCTTACTTTCATTTGTGTGTGTGTATATATATATATATATATATATGAGAGATAACAATATAGATTTTCATATATTAAATAATTGAAATTTTACACACCCAGTTTTCACATTTCAAGGGAGATAACTTCTCAACACTTATTAACAGTTATGACCCTTAGAAAATTTATTTTTCAATGGTAACGATTTACGAAACGCAGTTTAGATGTGGCACAAGGCGGAAACCAATAATGACCGAACTCATTACTCGTTTTTAATTTATCTAGCGTGACAAGCTCCATGTTGAATTTTTACTATTTTTTCTTATGCTTATTTTTATAATTGGAATTGTACAATATTTTTTTTTTTTTTTAAATATCATGGCTATTTTAATTATCTTGTGAACTTTTAATCCCCTGTTAGTCGACCCCACAAAATATTTTTTCCTTAATATTTAACAAGTGGCAAGTTAAATTTTCATGATTAATCGAATAGTTTTCTGAATCCCTCTGTGAAGTAAATACACAGATTTTCTGGTTTTAGTCATAATGTCTATGGGAATTACAAGCACATGGCCTTAAAGCTGTTACCTCCACTTTTTCGCTGAAAAAAAGCATAGCATGATGCAAAAAGGCCCTAAATTAAATAAAAGTTTTATCGTCAAAATGTATATGTTATTATTAAGAAGAAAGACCAAAGTATTTTTTTTTATTATTTTAAAATTTTGTTACCTTTTTTTTTTTTTTTAACGTGTTGGTAATTTTAGTTAATCTTTTTTTTTTTTTTTTTTTTTTTAAGTGTCAGCGGTGTAATAGAGATGACTGGAAATTTTAGCGCCTTTTTTTTCTCGATTATATAACTCATTGATTTTGAAATTCTTCCAAAAATCAAATAACTGCCGGATTTTAATGAGACTTTGAGGACTTATGCACAACTGAATGAATCTATTTTTGAAATTATTATTTTTAGAAAATCGTGACAAAAATACTTTTTTACATCTTACCTCCGACTTAATTTCTAGAAGTTACACTTTGATCGCAAACCTTGTGTTATTCGTTAAACGCAGGAATCCTTGGAAAATGTAAATCATCCTTTTTTTTTATTATTTATTTATTTTTTTAAATAAAGACTGCCTGTAATAATTTTGGTACAAACCTAGGCAAAGATCACGTTAACTTTCTTATTCAATGCTTGGAATGTGGAAAAAAAAAAAAAAAAAAAAAGATTTGAAGAGTAGTCGGATTGATCATGAATTGTTTTAAAAGATCTTAGTGAATAAAAAACGAAAACAAAATTTTTAACTGACTCGCTAAAAAATTAGCATACTATGATAAAAAAAAGAAGTCCCAAACTTAATAAAATCAAAGTTTTATCGTCAAAATCTTTGTTCTTATTAAGTGGAAAGGCCAAAGGATTTTTTTTATTATTAAACTACATTTTTTATCTTTTTTAGAATGTTCGAAATTTTGGTTAAAAATCTTTTCTTTTTTTTTCTTTTTTTTTCTTTTTTTATTTTGCTAGCGCAGTGCCCAAAGATTAGTAGAGGAAAGTTTAGCATCATTTTTGCTGTGAAAAACGCTTTGATTTGGAAATTCTTGCAGCATTCAAATAATTGTCGGATTTTAATGAAACTTTCAGAACTTATTCACAAATGAATTAAATTTTTTACAGATATTTTTCGTATTAGAAAATCACAGTAAAAATGAATTTTTATTTAAATCTGTTACCTCGCACTGAAATTTCGAGAAATTAAATTTTGTTCCGCTTAATATTAAAAGTCGGACTCCTTGGAGAATTTAAATCCTCAATTTCTTTTTATAAACCAAGATCCCCTCCCATTACCGAAAATCTGCTCTGAGTTGTAAAATAATAAAAAAAAATGCCATAAAACTAAGGCATATGATTAAAAAAGCTTTTAATTGTTTATATAAATAAGATATATTATGGACACTATGGTCTTAAAAAATTTCCATGAATAATGTATTTTTCTAGAATTGTTTGATTTTTAAAAAAAAAAATTAATTATAATAATTTTTAAAGTTTTAAATCTTTTAAAATTTGTAGAGATAAGTTGTTATGGTTAAATTAGTAAACTATATTTACTAATCTTAAATGGAAAAGCTTAGTACAATTCATCGACCGAAAATTTTTTCAAAAATTTTGAAATTATTTTTGTGTATAAACGTACTGATTTTTGTAATTACGGATGTCCATACACAACATTATCAGGTGTTAAGAGTGATAACTATAATAAATTTAAGGCCAAAGTACCTAAAATTCAATAAGACATGAGATTATGGAGAATATTTTCCTAAACTTTTAAGATTGCTGGGTAGTTTAAAATTATATAAAAAAGTCGCCCACGTTATATTCCTCAAGTAAATTTATCCACTGTAGAGAAACATTACATAAACTTCCGTCTGTTATTCAAGCTGTCAAACTATCAACACCGAAAATAAACAGTTATCGCCGTATTAAAAAAATACATTTCTGCGATTAAATATGTTGTCGTTTTTATTTTCCTTTGTCTCTATGAGAAACATTGAATTTAATTTAATTTATTTCTTTTTTTTCTTTTTCTCTTCTTTTATTTTTTTTATCCCTTCCAGTCGATTCGCTTTCAGAAGACTTCCCGGAAAGTTAGGAGCCGATTCTGGTGGAAGAATTTGAAGATGAAGATCATTATGGTATTTGTTGGTTTAGTGGTTGTTTTGGTGTTGATACTGATCATCCTCTTCTCTACGGGTGTCTTACCCGAGAAAGCCTCAACTACTTCTCCACCTGTAACCAAAAGCCACACATAATTGCTATCATTTTTTTTTTTTTTTTTTCATTTTTTTTTTAAATATATTTTACAATGCATGTGTCCTTATATTTTTTAAATCCGTGCAGCGTTCATCCAATTTTTATATTCTTGTTTATTTCAAGGAAACTCTTGAATTCCTTCGAAAGTCGTCCTTTTTTATTTAGTCAAATTACCTTCAGACGAGAATTATATCTGTCTAATAAAAATAAAACATCAAGTCTGAACAGTGTAAGATATGTATGAATAACGAATTTGATTTAAAAAAGAAACACACCACACACACACACACACACACACACACACACACAAAACCTGACAAGTTTTGTTTGCTTAATTTTTTATATTTTTCAAATTTACGGATAAGTTGTTGAGAATTGGACTCGAAGTTGTGAATAAACTGCCCGACGTTCATATTTTATTTTTGTTAAAGTACTTTCGACTTTCGCAGTCATTATCAAGAACCGTCTGTGTGTTAGTTAAGTTAGAATTCCTTTGTTTTCATCCTTTGTGAAGCTGGACATTTGAAATGGTCTACGGTGACGTCATCTGTAACGGTTATTGGAAACTAGGCCGCGCCAAAAGAATTCGATTTGTTTATTTTATTTTTATAACAATTAACAGTCCACATTAAATAAAACGTTCACCAGAGGAGATTGTGTCTTGAAGTGAATACGATATAATTAATGGGAGCACATATTATATTAGTATCATAAAACAAAAACAAAAAATGAATAAAATAAAATAAAAATAAACAAATTGCATTCTTTTGATGCGGCCTCGTTTTCAATAACCGTTACAGATGACGTCACGCTAGACCAGTTCAAACGTCCAGCTTCCCAAAGAATACCAGGACGAAGACAAGGGAATTCTAACTTCCACACAGACACCACATTGTTTTTTGATAATGACCGCAAAGTCGAAAGTACTTGAACAAAAAAAAAAAAAAACCAACAAAAAAACACACGAACTTACCTGATCGATTCTTTTTAAATCAAACATGTTTGAATGAATACGTGTTGCCTAAATATACCTTATGTATGAATAAATGTATATATTGCTATTTTTGACAAAGTAAGAAATAAGATTCCATCCAACAATTAGTGATAATAAAGTATAAATATTACTGGAAAAGTTTTTTTCTGTCATTTCGCCCCAAGCATCTATCTATCTATCTATCTATCTATCTATCTATCTATCTATCTATCTATCTATCTATCTATCTATCACATTTTGTTTGTATGTATATGTATGTGCGAATACCAGGATGCAGACAAAGGAATTTTAATTACCACGCAGACACCACATCGGTTCTTGATTATAACTTCGATGTCGAAATTACTTGAACAAAAATAACAAAATATGAACTTAGGACAGTTTATCCACAACCTCGAGTACAAGACTCAACACCTCATCCGGAAATTGGAAATAATAAATTAAGCTTTAAACCGATAGACCTTGTCCGTTTTTTTTTCTTTTTAATCAAACATGTTTGAATGAATACTTGTTGCCTAAATATACCTTATGTATGAATAAATGTATATATTGCTATTTTTGACAAACTAAGAAATAAGATTGTAAAAAAAAAAAAAAATTCCATCCAACAATTGGTGATAATAAAGCATAAATTTTACTGGAAACGTTTATTATTATTATTATTATTATTATTATTATTTCTTCGTCCCAAGCAAGGCGTTAATGCCACTAAGACGCAAGTGGTTTACAGTGAGTGAAGGAAACTGAAAACATTATTGAGGAACAAAGGGTAATAAGCAGAACAGTATTCAAAATGAAAGATGATGACGACTGGCGTTGCCTTTAAATTGTTGAAGATCGGAGTTGACGGGTAAGCAAGAAGCCAGAACTGATTTTCTCAAGCGAAACTTAAAACCAGAAGATATTAGAGTAGAACTTCCGGTTGCATTTAGCAATTTCAATAGTAAAATGATGAGACCTAACCGCCAATCTAGTACTGCGCTTAAATTCATAACGTCTAGATAGCAAAGAGGAAGGTTTAGTAGAACAATTGCCATGAAAATATTTATAGAAAGGCCACACGGAATCTACGTTACGTCAGTGGGAAAGTGATCGAAGGTGAAGTGCCAGATCAGGACCGATAATATTGCAGATTCTTTGGATTTGGGATTTAAAAAATGCTGACAGTACCCAATTTATAATTTTGTTTCTAAGAATAAATCTTATAAATAAAGTTATTTTTTAATTTTAATTTTTATTTATTTTCTTTTTTTTTTGCTGGTGAATATTACTTGAGCAATATTTCGAGGATAAGTTTCCAGATACAAGTCCTTTAATTCAAAACTGGTAGGGTGATAAGAATTTGTCTTTCTTAAAGGTATTTGTGCGTAAGTAAATGTAGCGTAAAATATACGCTTTTATAAATAAAAAAAAAGAAATACACTGCAGTTGATTTTCATCCCAAGTAAGGCGATAATGCCGCAAAGGGGTTTAGTAAGAGTGAAGGAAACTGAGAAAACGTTCTTGAAGAGAAAGTATAATAAAAAAATCTTTTTTTAATCTTATTGATTATTAAAACAGAAGATGACGATTGGCGTTGCATTTATATTTTTGAAGATCGTAGCTGTCAGGAAAAAGTTTTATAGGCGAGACGTGTGAGGGGAAAAAACTATTACGCTAGAACGTAGTTAAATTTAGCAGTTTCAAAAGAAAGAGACCTATCTACCAATCTAGTCTTTTTCTTCGTTCGTGTCCCTTCAAGACGATCGTGGCTCGCTACTATTTCCTGTCCTTTTTAGCTTTTAGTAAAGGTTGTCTTTTTGCGATCTCTCCTAATACCTGTTCTGCCAACCACTTACACAAAGCTAGGTAGGTTATACACTAATTTCCACTTGACCCTTTTGCCTTCAATAGGTCATGTGAGTGTCAAATTTTCTAAGCCCTCTTTCCTCTTTATATGCTCTAGAAATTTCAATCATCTCTTTCTGATGCTACGTATAAGTGTCTTTTTTGTTTCCATTTTCTCTAAAACCTTGTCGTTGCTCATATGACCAGTCTATAGTATCCTCAGCATCCTTCTGTAGAACGACATTTCTCTTGCCTCAAGTCTTCATTATCTGTCTATATTTCTGAGATGAGGTATTATGTACACTATTTACATCATTCGGATTGTTGTCCTCATCTTTGTTGCCATATTTATCACAACGTTTCGGCCGTTGCACGCTCCGGTCTTCTTCAGGTGGTTGGAATGTCGAACTGAACCCTTTATTTCGCTCGCTGGGGTAGACTGTTCTGGTTCCATGTGCCATGTCTAATGGATGTCAGTTATCAGTTATCTCCTGTTAATTCACCTCTATAAGTTCTCCACTGCCTTAACTAGGTATTGAACTTGCAACTTTTTGGTTCCTGTCACTGGATCTAACCAATGCCTTTATCCACTGTGCCATGTGTCTATAAGGATTGCCATATAGAAAGACTGATATTACATAACAGTTATCATATCTTTATTTCTAATGAAATTTTTCTGTTGCTTAATACTTTGTTTAGCTTTTGGAAGGCATCTTTCGTTATCCCAATGTGCCTTCAGATTTCGGCATCGTGTTTTTCGTTCGATGTTAATCCCTTGCCCGCTAATTATTTTGGGAAAAACGTTTCATTTTCGAAGGATTTTTTTAATTTATTTTTAATATAGTAACTAAAAAAAAAAAAAAAAAAATCTGAGAAATCTTGAAGTACTCGAGCGGTGGCTGACACCTCTGCCAGACGTGTGAGTTGACAACTGGACTCGTTTCAAACTGAGAATGACATAAAAATAATCGACGTATAAACACGTCTGTAGCCGGTTTTTAAAGTTATGTTTTGGACGTGTTTATTCGTCAGTGTCTGAAAAGGACACTTTCGGTCAACAAAGCCAAAAAAAACACAAACAAAAAAACTATCCACATCTTTAAACCAAATACAACTTTCTTATTTTGCATGATCTAATTTACTGACCAATATTTAATCCCTTGCCAGCCAATTATTTTGAGAAAAACGTTTTATTTTCAGACGAATTTTTTTATTTGTTTTTAATATGGTAACTAAAATAACTGAGGCATCTTGAAGTACCCAAGCCGTGGCTGGTACTTCTAGCAGACGTGTAAGTCGACAACTGGACTCGTTTCTCAGAGGGGCATAAAAAGAAGCAAGATCGACGTATAAACACGTCTTGTAGCTGGTTTTGAGCATTGTTTTGGACGTGTTTATTCGTCCGTGTCTAAAAAGATAGTTTTGGTAAAAACGTATATACACGTCTACAATGCGGTTAAATTCACATGTTGTTCAGTTCCTTTAAGTGACAACGATATATTCTGTCTTCTTGTCATTGATGTTTTGTCCTTTGTTCTTGCTTTTTATTTTACTACCTTCTGTAAGAGTTCCTGTTATTTACTTTCACTGTCTGCTATCAACACTGTGCCGTTTGCATATCTTATGTTTTAAGATTGTGAGCCGTCAATAATGATTCCTACTAGTACTTCAAGCTCTCATTGCTTCATTTTGAAAGCTAAATTCTTGAAGTCGATGTACTAAAAATGAGAGTTCACCAGAAAAAAATGCGAAGAAAATATACGGTCGAACCAATAACGTCATCTTTGTGGATTTTATGAGAACATTTCGGCTCTTATGTTCTCCGGCCTTTTTTTTTTCTCCCTAATTTCCTGTCCTTTGTAGCTCTTAGTAAATTTTGTCTTTTCGCTAACTTTTACTAAATCATGTTCTGACAACAATTTACCCAAGGCTCCTTCTTTGTTCCGTGTCCGTTCAGGACGTTGGCAATCATGGGTCTCCACAATTTCCTTTGTAGCTCTTAGTAAATTTTGTCCTTGTTCTGTCGACAGTTTTAGAGGTCTTTTCTTCTCGCTTTTAACACCTGTTTATTGTTAATCGTTAATAAAATTATTATTATTATTATATGTGAAAAGTGTGTGTATATAAATATCAATGAATATATATATATATATATAATTATTTATATATTATATGCGCGGTACTTATTACAAAGCGCTCAATATCAGAGATAGAGCTAACATATTTGGTTGGATTGATGTGAGTTTGTGACCCTGGGTTTCACGCTTTTGCGATCGTCAGACAAACTGTAGAATGTTCTCGATTCGCAATCCTTGTATATTTATATCTCATCAAATTCTCTCTCTCTCTCTCTCTCTCTCTCTCTCTCTCTCTCTCTTTTTTTTTACTGCTAAGTACTGTTTCCACTGTGTCTGAGTCTTTACTACCCGGTCCAGGGATTGAACTCGCAAACCAACTCTTTAACTCACAGCTATATTTAAAAGAAATTTTAGTTTTTGAATTTTGAAATAAGGAATTGGCAACATTCGGTATATTTGATCTTTTATTCTCAACAGGAACAAACAAGAAACGATTTTCTTCTTTGATGTGCCATGTCCCTTCAGTACATGGGTATTCATGGCTCTCCACATCTTCCTATACATTCTAGCACGAAGCCATGGTTGTCCATTTGCCATCACTTCCACCCGATATTCATTTACACAAGCTCATTAGGTAGACTTTGTACATATGTCCATCTTGTCTTTGATATATCCTGTGAGTGTCAAATTTTCCAAGCCTTCTTTTCTCATAGGTTCTAGAAATTTCAACAGTCTTTCTCTGGTTCTAAGAGTGCATTTTCTTTAAAATTTCCTCGTTACTCGCATGTTAAGTCCTAGGAATTCTCAGGATCCTTCTGTAGAATCATATCACTGTTGTCTCAGGTGTCATGCGAGGAAATTGTCAAACATCCATTGCCGTATATAGGGACGGATGTTAAAAAGTAATTCAGCATTCTTTTGCTTCTGACGACATTTTTCTGGTGCTTAAAATTTTATTTCGCTTTTGGAAGGAATCTTCAGTTTTCCTCTCCATTGTCCTTAACACTTTGACACCAAACCACGAGATAAATCGTCGTTGGCAGTGGTTATTATGATGCCAGTACTGTGTTATCACGGTTTTTTTTATGGCCTTGCCATCAAGGGTACAGCCACGAGTTCTTTCGTTGTTTTTAACACAGATAACTAATACCTGGTGTCTGAGACAAGAATAATGAATCGGACTGTCAGTTAAAAACAAACTCTTTTTATTGAAAATATAACAGATAAAAGAAGGCAGATTATTTAGCGTTTGAAACCAGATTTCGTAATTGACTGTCAGCGTGTTAAAACTACTTTGTTGCCTTTTCTTGCTTTAATCATTTCAATCTAAGTAAGGCAATAAAGACACTGAGACGCAAGGGGTTACTGAGTGTGAGATAATATAAGA